TGTACGGTCCATCCGGCAAAGATTGATCGTTTCCTGCATTAAAATTGAGTATTGCTTTAGATCCCAATTATCTGAGTGTTTATTTTCTTAAAATATGAAATTTAAGTGTCGATTATTTTAATATAACTATGAAATATGATAGATCGGCTCTAGATCAACACTTCGTTATAACGTGACATTTCTTATGTTGTTGATAGTTATTTAAAAAAAAAAATACCAAACAGTATGGTTTCTTTCACTATTTAATCTGTATTTTTACAATAATGTATTGACTGTTTCATAAGCTTTGTTATAAGCCTTGAAAACGCCCAGTAAAGAATGTACCAGGGTTGCTCACCTGGTCCCGTAATATCGATGCTGTATCTCGCTTCGGTTACCGTCTCCCCATTCTGCAACTGAATCTGGTACATTGGGAAGCCGAAATTCTCTGATATATCTCCACATTATCACCCCTTCTTCCCCTACACATTTTCTCTCGGTCACCAACTCTCGGCAATGGAAACTTTGTCACTACGGTAATGTTTTGCCAGGTGGGGATTTCCTGTACTATACGACCTCGGGTATTCCCAATCCGAAAATATTGCCGTCATTTATTTTTAGCCAGCCAATCAAAACGCGATGACACAACTCTCCACTCTCAGCCAGCCAATCAGATTGGGTGAACAAAAATAAACCACTGCGAATAAACCACTGCTGGCGATTGAAGATCAAGCCCTGTTATGGGAGAAACGTAGAGTAGCTTATTGTTACAGTAGAGTAATTGAACGTATTATGTTGTAGGTAAAGGTATCGTTGAAGAAACAGAAACTCGTTGACCCCGATACACAAATACACACAATATAAATAAACTCATATAAGACAAGACAATTACAACGTAAATAAATCATATATACTGCAACATAATAAGGCAATACTACTACATAAATCGTTTTTATCATTATTGCAAAAAGAGGTGCCGTTTTCGCCCAACAAATAGTAGCCGTTTTCGCCAAATGAGGTGCCGTTTTCGCCCGGGAAATCGGTGACTTTTTGCTGTGGTGTCGTTTTAGCCTGTATCCGAACAAACATGATTAATAGTTGAAAATATGTGATGATACGCACAAAGACAATGCATACACAAGTTGCCAATGATTTTCCTTTCTAAGAACCCCTCGTACTAGGAATGGATGAAACGAGGTAGTTCTATTTGGCGACTGGATTTCGTTGAACGATGGGATTAAGGAATATTTCTCGTCTGTATGATTCCTTTTTCACTGTTTATAATTTGTATTTCTGTCGGTAAATAAAACAGGTATACGACTGGTTTGAACCAGGTTTGGACACTTCAAAGTAAAATCCTTATGTTTTTTGTACTGGTCAAGCGACTCATAAATTGAGTGCAAATAATTATACGCCGATTTTAGGGCTAGGTTTATTCAGAACTTAACTTGGATTGTATTTCTTTTCACTTGTATATGACACTGACAATATCACGCACTTGAATTAACAACTCCTTAACCAAAGAAAGACACGGAAAGACATTTAAAAAGATTCAAAATAATACTTTTCTTTGCAATTGTTGTTTCATGATGTCAGAGGAACTTTTTAACACTATATCAGACCAACTGAGGAACATATATGTGTGATTGTATACCAGGATAACAGCTTTGCAGCAGTGTGTATATAAGGTAACATAAGGTTGTGGTGTGGGTCTGACAGGAAAGGTTACATCTGGCAAGGGTTATGATGTTCACAGGACATTTCTTGTCACTCCACCCAGAAGACAGAGAGAATATACCAAGGACCAATTAACTGGATATTCTGAAGTCTATCAACTGATGACAGATTTCAAATCCAAGACTCCATGGTGATGATCTGCATTTATTTTGAATTTATCTATAACACATTGTCAGGTTTCCCGATAAACGGAAACCTTTTCACAATTGTTCACAATGTCCCATCTGCCTTTAGGGACAGGAGCATTACTGTGCACACTGCAACACACGTGCCAGACTAACTACAATTTATTTAATAGCAAGATCCATAAAAACTAGGTAGGTTGTTTTCCAAAACTCTACATATGTGTCCTGTTCCTTTATTCAAAAGATAACATTCTCTGAGATAACATTTCCCAACTGAAAACTAACAGAATCTGTCCACATTCGCCGCCACAAGCCATGAATCAACAGAGATCAATGCTATTACATCCCATCCCATGTCCCACTGGCTTCCACCTTTGTGTTTTCTGTCCATCATGTTGTGAGAGCATTATCCTTCTCTTGTCATTACTTACTCATGTTATCCCACTCATGTATGCAATTGTAGTTCATGTCAATCCTCTTCTGTTCATCTTCCACCACTATATATATATTCTGTACAATTTTCCTCATTCAGTCTTGCTTGACAACGGTTTAAGGATCTATACCGAAACGTCGCCTTTACAGTATTAAAGAAGTTGTTATCCATAAACTGCTTCTACTTTGTCATCCGTCAACTTCTAAGTAATGCCTATCAAACAATTCTGTGAGAAATATATGGCCACATCACCAACTATCGTGCCACTCAGGCCTTGGTGACTATAAACAAAATCACAAAACAAATACAGTATCATGTACTGTTGAAAAAAACACTATTTCATCATATTCGTATGATAATTATAGTTTAGCATTGTTTTGTTTGGAAACACAATAAGCAAGAACAGGGTAAAACAATCAAGGACAAAAATGTATCTATTTATTTTTCATTGTATATTTGTGTTAAATAAGGATGTCAGATAGTTGCATTTTCACATAATTCATTTTCAGATGAAAGATAATAATCGAAGATTGATCAGTGACACTGCGCTGATACATTGATAGATATTTTCAGTCTGTACATATAATCATTGGGGAGAAAAATAAACTACCTAAATACATAACAATAATTAACTGAAAATGTTAAATGCTCTAAAAATATTAGCATAATAACATATACATTGTATCATCAAAACGCAACCAAGAAAGTATGTTTATAGTTTGTTTTCAAAAAATTAAAATGTTAGATAGAATTGGTTTCACGCCAAAATGTAATATAGAAGAACAAAAATAATAAAAATATCCAAAGTTTTATGTGAAACGAAAGCTGAAATATTTATTGAGTATAGGATTAACCTATATACATCATGCTGTTGAGAATACATGATCACAACCAGGAAAGCATGAATGTCATTTTGAAACAAATTTGTCACGCCCATTTTCGCGCACCTGTTGTGGAAGGTGGTCATTGCGATATCGCTGGACGTAGAATCTATCAGAGCAAAAAAAGTGTAGGTTTCCGTCTTTCGGAAACCTTCCGGATACCTACCCATTTTGGATCCGGCCCAGATACCTTCTGGAAACCTTCCCCCAAAAATGTCAAAATTTGGGGGGTGCATTTTGTTTATTTAAGTGTGAAACACTAGTGAAAAAATATCTTGAAAATACCAAGAAATTTGAAGGTTGCTGAAGGTTGCTGAAGATATTTGGAAGGTATCCAGGTGCAAATTTTCTTCATGTCTTGTTTCTGGTAAATAATGTTAGCCTGTGCATAACAGATAGCTGTTGTAATATTCTGTGTTACTTCAATGGTAAATATCCTCCTAAAACATATTTGGAGAAGACAATTGTTCAATTTCATATATTGTTCTTTTCAGATGGTAAGGGTATTTAATGAACAAACATCAGTTCTCGTATAATGATATCCTTAAATTTCATGTTCAGACTTCCAGTTTGTACTGAGAAAAAGAAAAAGTCATTGACTATGTGCTCACTTGGGCCTTTGGTCCTAGTGATATGGTAATAAGACTATTTGTAATGGTACATGTACTTGTTATATCCAAAAAGCTGACTTCATTGAAGTTTGCCTCACAATAGCTTTATGGTACTACCGTGAGCTCTTCCTCAGTTACTGTGAATTCTTTTATTGAAAGAGATTGAGAGTTAATTTGACACTGGAATTGTAACCACTGCTCATATATGTGTATTCAAATAATATAATAACTACGTGCTTAATACTTCACAAATATCTCCAGAAATAGGCATTACAGTTATAATTGCAGAAATACTTTATGAATGACCCCTTCACTATTGCCTTGAGTTTACACTTCAACCCTTCATGAGTTATCATTTTTGAGTGTGAATTTGACCTTCAATATCAGTGATAAATATTTCTAAAAAACATCAAAGAGCTATCCAGCACATAAACCAAATATGCTGTCCTTTGGTAGAATTCAACATAACATTGACAATGATATGAAAACAATATAACCAGTATATGTATAAGAGTTACTAAGACTGCAGAAAAAGGGCAATTAAGGTGAAAATGTAGTATATGTAGGTCACGCACGACCTTTTTCCAACTTCGACCCCTGCCCAAAGGAAGAGTTAGACCACAAACAAACGTTTTGTCTGGTTGTGACTTTGACCTTTGACATAACAGATCAATGTGTCATCAGACGTTCTCAGAGCTAAGGAAACATGTGTTATTTATTCCTGAGATGCCCAAGCAATGCATGGTTTCATAAGATAAGTGTGGCTATTAAACTGAGGCAAAATCATGAAACATCCCCATTTACACAGCTGGCAAATGAAACATAAGCAACAATCAAATTATCATTTTTTTTTATTCATATGCCTATAGTATATCACACATTGAACAGTGTTCACATAATGGTTCCTGGTGCAGTATGCAATTTCATCCTATTCTTCAATACTCATAATAGAGTGTGATAACTGTTCGCTTGACAGTACCTACGGATCATGTTCACCAGTTCAGAGAACTTACTTTCCCTCAAACCTTCTTTTCTTTATATATTGCCATGGATAAACAGGAACCAGGATGAGGGGATGCCAGTTGGACTCTATCCCTGATGCATTGTGTTGGTAGAATTGCGAACTTTCCATTTGGTGTTTGGGTCAACAATTAAAGACAATAAGTCCCATTTATCATTCCTTTCAAGTGTTTACCACATGGCTCATGACAAGAATTGCTTGAATGTCCTGGAAGGATCCCACTCCAGCTTGGCATTGATTGGTCTTCTCACATTAGCCAGACAAGCCTTTGTGTGTCCCAGTACCATTTGGCATACAACTTCTTGGTCGGCCTCCATTGAAATAACAGGACCCTCGTCATCGCTGTCTGCAAATCATCTCTGATATCTGAAGGGGTGCACTCTCTGTTAAGGGCTCCCTTGTCTGGTCCTTCCAGACTGTCAACATGGAGTACTCATCCAGGGATCTCAAGCAGGACTTCAGTTTCTGCAGCATTATGTACACAGATTTTAGCAATAAAAAATAATTGTCGCCAAATGTACTTACAGATAGAAGGCAGCAAAATCACTTAAGTTATCATATGTGAGTCTTGTTATATGCCAAACATTTAAGAAAATCACATCTCAAATCTCGACCAGGCAAACCAGTGATTAATGTTATGAATTCGGTACAGACAAACCGATGATAACTGTTATGGACAATATCCCACATCATTGTGGTATGATGACATGTGATCAACGAGCCTACTCACTACCTGATCTTTTTATTTGGCTTGTATAGCAAGCATACACTGCTGGGAATCTTTTTAAGAGATGTCATTTAGTGATTGTTTCAACTCATCAACATGGAAAAATATATATTTACAATCCTTGTCATATAGCCAAACTATTGCTGGATGCGGTGTTAGATAAGTGAGTTGGGTTTAACACTGCTTTGAACAGTATTCCAGATATATCACCGCCTGTTAGCTTGATGTAGGAAGAAAGCCCTAAGTGATGCAGGCCTTTGATGAATCCCACGAGCATGTGTATAACGCTGACAAACCTAGCAACATAATCGGGGAGAACCAGGATTTGAAACCATGACTATAGGTTTCTGCTAAGCCCAAGAGATGCAACTCTGCACAGCTAATTGTAGTGCCTTAGATAATAGGACATCCGTGCCCACAGCGATAAGGAACAAACTGAAGAAATATTTGCAAAATAGCCATATGAACCAAACAGAATAATTTCAAAATATTTATCACTCACTGTTGCTCTTCTCTTGTTCCTCATTGCTTCTCTTCTATGGTCTTTCTTTGCATTGATGCTGCACAGATGACCATCTCTTTTATTCATCCGGACATTCTACAAACATAAGTAGCATCCACATCACAGAAATGTCCAAACTGTACATGTTGTACATTTGATTCAGATGAAAAGACCCCAGTTGTGATTCCGACTTAGAATCACCCTCATTATAATAATTCATGTCAAAAATTCAGAGATGACATTTATCCCCATATTTAACAAATTAACAATATTTCGACAACAAAGTCGGGGTCATTCAACACATACATTACATAGGGAATCACTTGTTCGACAATGCAGAAAGATCCTCACCGAGGTCAATATCATTCCATGAATTATTGCTAAATTTTCTTGAAATGCAGATTAATGCAATGCAGTATTTACTTTTATTTCTAGGCTATTCTTTTGGCTTTTACATGGCACTGTTTTAACAGAGATGTAACCTTGATATGACACTGTGTTCAGAAATGACATGAATAAGATAATACTTTATTATTCCCAAGGAAATTTGGGTTACATTGTAAAAGCACAGAGAAACAAGTATAAGATTCATGATTTAAGTTAAATACACTCATACACACACACAAACACTACGACAAAATAACATCCAAACACCTATCAACTAATAAATTGGGTCATCATACTCTGAGGGCATGGATCTTTGCTGATAATAACAATCATTAGATTGCCTGGTCCATGTTCAATTTGTTACAGGCCGCCATCACAGAGCTGGACTATTGTGAGTGTGATGTTTCAGATTGCATTGAAATATACCATGATGAATACATGTTGTTTGTAATTATCACACACAAAAATACTCACTCAATACTTTGTATCCTCCCTGAGGATGTCTGTGAACCTCCCCACAAACCCTGAACATGCTGAAACAGAAAACAACTAACTTGTTTTAACCCTTTCAAAGTTTCAGTGTGAATTTGTTAAAGATTGATAAGCTGTCATTATTCATTGTAACCCATATCTCACTTTCAGGTGGTTCACGTGGCAACACATGAATGGGACTGAATGCCACGTTTTGTGTGACATGCACTTCGCCAGATTTATACCCTTGGTAACTAACCCTTATAATCAAATCCCAGCGTTATGTTGAGAATAAGGACACGACCCTTAAAAGTCCTACACCTGTAGCTCTTATGCAAGCCCAAATCCAATGTCACAACAAACACTTGATCATAATAATAACAAAAGGTTTCCGAACACAAAAAAACTAAAAGGCCCTTGTCGTTTACAGTAGTAACATGGACATCAGGAAAATATTTAAATCAATCCATTCCAAAAGATCTCTGAATAGAAATCATGGAACATTATGTCTCGAAGCCCTGCTACGTACCTGGCATCCGCAAGCTGCTCTTCCTTCCTTCGGCTGTCAATTGAGTTTTCGAAATACTTGACGTCCTCGTTGTGGGTGGCTCAGACGGATTTCGACCGGGATTTCCGTGTTAGAGGTGATTGAGAACAATGTATCGATACACGCGGTAAGCATATTGCAATCAAGCATCGCGGTGTACATCGATTACACGAGGTTTGAGTGTTTGTCTACATTTGTGTTCCAAAATTGCGCCCTCGGCCATACAAGGAATTAAGGGTAGACTTGCTTGCCCCGGAATAACACGTGTTGGTCACGAATGACGAGCGGTCATTTCTGCAGCAGTAACGGAAAGAGACGATTTTTGCCGATTACAGTTCATAGAGGCCATATTGGGAGCCGCGGGGATTTCGACAGTGTGTATTAGGAAGTATACCTACGTCGTGTATGGAATATGTGTTTGCTTACCATACCTAGATAAGGCAGTGTCACAAGGAATTTCCCAGCGGACGTAATATTCCTACAGCAGAAATGTTTCACAACCTCGTCAAAATTGGCGATTGCAGCTGATGTCATGCAGGGAGCTGAAGACGTGACATATTCAGACAGAGACCATATTATATAGACTGTTATATGGTCTCTGATTCAGGTAAGGAATATGTGAATAATATTGATCACGTATTAAAGTCATTAATTTTATCATCTGTAAGCCACTTATTCATGTTAGTAAAAGTGTGATTTTATTTTTGTAGGATAAGCAATCTACCTAACTTATGTTAATCCTTGCTAATGTATATGATGTAGAAATATGTTTGCTCACTTATATTCCTTTAACTAGATACTCTAATGTGACCCATTTTCTTATTTCATACCGTACCGACAAATCAATCTGTGGTACTCACCAATCTGTGAGAATGGTTTATAGACTAAACTTACTTTTGCAGGTGTGAAGAATCAAGAACAAATTAAATGACAGAAGATTTGCAACAGTGAACATAGTGAAATGGAAGATAAGGCATTTGAAATGGATATGGTATGGATATTTTCCCTTGAACTTGTTGAAGAATACCATGATGACAACTTTATCATGTTGGGAATTTTGGCGGTGGGGTAGCCTAGTGGTTGAGGTGCTGAAGACCAAGGTTCGATTCCTGTCATGGGTAAAATGTGTGAAGTCAATGTCAGATCTCCCTTGCTGTGGTATTGCTGGAATATTTCTAAAAGCAGCGTAAAACCATACCCATTCATTTGGGGATTCCAGGTTGGAATTGATCCCCATCAACCTATGCTAGTTGTAAGAGAGGTTTAATACTATAAGCGAAAACGGCACCTCGCCTAAAGCGAAAACAGCTACTATTGCCTGGTGAAAACAGCACCTTGTTATTTATATTACCTTGGTACCGAACATACATGAAATTAAACTCGCATGGTCACTTGTAAACACAAATAACTGAGAAATGTTCAAAAGGTTTACATAAGAAACTTGCCTCTACTCGCTGACTCTGATTTGGAGATGCAACTAAACTTATTGTGAAAATATAACATGCTTAGATTACTTTGAAGTAAAATAAATGAAATTAAACTTGCAAACACAAATAATTGTGAAATGTTAATCACCTAAAAACAGTTCACATTAGAAATTAGCCCCTACTCATATTTACTCATGATCTGATTGGGAGGTGCAACTAAACTAAAAAGGCGGCTAACGGGATCGGGTGGTCAGACTCGCTGACTTGGTTGATACATGTCATCAATCCCAATTGCGTTGATCGATGCTCATGATATCAATCACTGGATTGTCTGGTCCAGACTCGATTATTTACAGACCGCCGTCATATAGCTGCTGGAATATTGCTGAGTGCGGCGTTAAACAACAAACCAACCAACTCAGATTAGCTCAATGTCAAGCTGAAACTGAGTCTGGCGAAAATGTCAAGAATTGGACTACAGGTATACTATATGTTTCATATTTATTTTTGAAAGTAGGAAATAAATAGTAATTTTATAGAAATTTCATATATATCTCCCCTTTCTGCCAACAACATCACAAGAATGTCTCTCCAGATAACAGACAACGACAATAAGTAGCCCTTTTTGCCAAAACAAGGTGGTGTTTTCGCCTCACCCATAAGAGATAACTTAATAGATCGGGTGATCAGGCTCGGTGACCTGGTTCATGGCATCTGACAGTGCCCATATGACAGTGTGGATTGTTGTTCAAAATATCAATCACTGGATTGTCTAGAATCTTGGGCCTACCTTTAGAATACAGTACCACAAACTTTTCAAACAGGTCACAATACCCTGTGATGTAATTTGTAGTATTTTGTTGCCTGACACACTGGCAAGACAATGCCTTGTGATGTCAGGGGTCATTGGGTGTGCATATATATGCTCTTTTCAGTGGTCTATCCTCTCCAAACGCTATGTTTTTGCATAAGCCCAGCAATGTTGACAGTTTTAATTATTTGTTTACTAAATATTGCCTGCGGCTGCGCATTTTCTATCAAGTGCTTGTTTATGAAAGAACCTTTGTTTTCTATATGTTTTTTATTTCATTTCTTACTTATTCCAGTGGTTAAAATGATTATAAATTGAAACTTATAATGTGCAATAAGCGGGTTATAGCTAAAACGACACCTTAGCAAAACGTCACCGTTTGGCAAAACCCTCGCCGAAACCGAAAACGGCGATTATTACTTGGCGAAAATGACACCTTATTTTTTTTGCCTTGGTAAAATAAATGAAATTAAACTTGGATTGATAACTTGCAAAGACCAATAATTGTGAAATGTTAAAACAAGTTTACATTAGAAATTAGCCTCTACTCCAACTTATCCTATACGCGACTCATTTTATTGTGATAACATGCTTTTAAGTAAAATATACGGAATTAAACACACATCGTCTCATACAAACACAAATAGTTGTGAAACGTTAAAACAAGATTACCTTAGAAAGTAGCCCCAACTCCAATTTACTCGCCGACTCTGATTGGCAGACGCAGCTAACTTATTGTGAATATATTATACGCTTTGAAGTTTAAAGTACTCAATGTCGAGCTGAAACTGTATTTAAGAATCCTAACATGGTGCTGTCAGATCACAATTATTCACAGTGGCCTTTCAATGTATCATTTGAACATGTTGAAAGGTTTTACAAGAGATATTTGTCAGTAATAACTAATGCTATTTCTGCCCTTACATTACAACAAATAAATCAACCAATATGGAACTATTTTATTGATATGTGGCAACAAACATCTATACAACAATACTATCAGTTTTAGCAATAATGTAGTTATTAAATTGTAAGTAGATAATTCAAGTATGAAACCATATTGATTAAATCTAACAGATTCTGACATAAATGCATGTATCCATGAATTCTTTCAATGTTTTCCTGGACATAATTTTCAACATTACCATATTAAGCCATTTTTATATCATATTCATGTGTATAATGATACATATTATTTCTAATAATGGCGTATTTTGGACACACAAATATAAAGTTAACCAATACTTGCCGTAACAGGCGACTATGCTTGTCTGAAGAGTTGACTAATGGGATCGAGTTGCGGTCGGGCTTGGTGACTTGGTTGAAGCATGTCATTGATCCCAATTGTGTTGGTCGATGCTCATGATGTCAATCACTGGACTGTCTGGTCCAAACTCGATTAATTAGATATAGCCGGAATAACGCTGAGTGCGGCATAAAACAACAAACCAAACCAAATCATAAAAAGCGCCACAAGTGCGGGATGGGTCATTTGAAATTAACAAGTTTTATGTGAACTTAAATCACTACAACCTGATCTGAGTTGTGAAAAGATATGACTTTGATTCAGTGAAAATTTGCGTCATGATAGTTTCAACTGTTGGCACAGTTATTCTAAACAGTTAATCTGTTTTTTGTTCAGTTTCTGTTTATTAATTGTTAAATGTCTTTGTGTTTAAATAAGCTTTGCCTCTTCACCAACCCTATTCCTCTTTTGGAATAAATAGTGTCTAATTCAAATACCATCACTACTAATCATCCTAGTGAACAAATCAAAGAAATGCACATCAAAACTGTCATTATTATATATCTGATATCTGATTAAGTAGAAAAAACTGTAATCAAGCAAGATACATTTCCTTGGTCCCCAGAATGACTGACTGATTGATATAGAAGATTTAACGTGCGCTTTCCGACTGCAGCGTATTTCGCACACGGGAAGGGTGAAAGTGGTGTGTGCAACCCAAGAGGGGGTTTTTAGGGGTTGCTTATATTGATATTTTGAAATTTTTAAATTTGGAATAAATGCCGAGGTGGGTGGAGGAGGGAACTAAGGGAGCCGGGTGAGGTGGGTGTTTGTATGTTTATTGGATTTTGGATTGGTAGATTAATTAGTTTTTAGATGCGCTTAATTAGGTCTGTTTTGATTAGGAATACGTCTAGGGCCTTGAAGTTTTCTAGTTTATTTTGAGGGTTAAGTATTTCATCTAGAGTAGGACCCTTATTTAGATTGAGGTTGGTTTGTAGTGTGGTTCTGTGTGTTTGGTAGTGGGTGCAGTGGATGAGTGCGTGTTCTGTGGTTTCGGGTTGTTTGCAGTGGGGGCAGTTTCCTGTGGTGTGTGTTTTAAGTTGTTTTAGGTGGTTATTTAGGTTCGTGTGTCCTGTTTGGAGTTTTGTAATTAATCTGTCAATTTTTTTTGAGGGGTGTAGGATTTTAGGTTTGGCTAGTGGTTTTCTGAGCACTTTTTTGATTTGGCTATTTGAGTTTTGATATTGATTATGCCATTTTTTGGTTATTTTTTGTTTGTTTACACTTTTAATTTCTGATTTTGAGATGGGTAGGTTTAGGCTTATTTCTGGTATTTTGAGAGATAATTTAGCTGCTTTATCGGCGCTTTCATTGCCGTAAATTCCTACGTGGGCGGGGATCCACAAGAAGGTTATTTGTTTGCCTGCTTTTGTTAGGTCGTTGGGGCTTTTAAGTATTTGGTTTATTAATTTAGGTCGTTTTTTGGTATTTTTGTTTTGGAGGGCTTGTAGTCCACTAAGGGAGTCGGTGAGAATTAGGATTTTTGTGTTGTTTTTAGATTGTTGGTTATGCAGGGCTGAGGCCATGCCCATAAGGTCGGCCGTGAATAAAGATTGGTTGTTAGGGAGTCGGTAAGATTGTGTGGATATA